TACTATTTTTTTGAAGGAAAAATCTTTACCAGTAGAGGCACATAGTATAGTGTCATAAGATGTAATGAGAAGACATGTAACTTTGAAAGTTATTTGATATGCCGTGGCCATTAGCACAATGAGGTTAGGCAAGGTGCACTGTTCTTCTATCTTGAATACTCAAGGTCAGTGTTCCACAACCTTTTTCACGCACAGGACACCCTAATTTGTCATCACAGAAATTCTCCTTAAGAAAGAAGGGTATGAAACTAACTATACATGTCAATAAATATACATGTATATCTTACATATACAGGAATTTGAAAACAAGATGCCCTGAATAAAACTTTCTGTGATATGTCTGTGTGCATGCACATGTGTGTATTAAAAATTCTAATATGCAGATATATGACTGAATACAGTTTTAGTAAAATATAAATGCACTGCACCAAACAACAAAATCTGATATTGCCTGGTAATGTATTTCAACTGTAAATTAAAAGAAGTGTATTTTATATTTAGCCTGCATTCACATTATTTTGGTATTAAGCCAGATATTCAGTACTTGTTTCTTTGCCTACCCCCTTCACTTTCTCAACTAACATCACCATTTGCTTCTGCCCCTTCTGTTGGCTCCCTCTGTCCACTTGGTGTTGGAAAATATGACTTCGGCAAGCTCAGGAAATGGGCTGTCTCTTATATAGAACAATATTTTGGAATTATGATTTTCTCATGGTGATAATGAAAACATTATGACTTCCCATCATACATCTCTTAATGTTATTGCATTATAGTACATTTATGACAAACCCATTCTGTTTGAAGTGCCTGTGGTCGCCAACAAGGACCCAGCATTGTTTACTGACAGTAGGAGGCCTCACATGAGGATCTACAAGTCTTTACAACAAAAGTGACATGTGTTCTGTTGTCAGATTAGTCAGTGAAACTTTCCATAGCCATGTGCTGCTAGTTTGCTGTCGAGTAAGTGTATGTCCTTGCAAACAGAACTTGAAGGGTAGCAAAATATCACTCTGCTAGCAGACTATTTCATTGCCTTATGAATCTGACTTCACATTCACCTGTACAATTCAGTTTTATTATTTTTACAGTCCCATATGTGGCACCTCCCCATTTTCACTCTTACTAATGTAAATTATTAATGTGGTTAGGCTATGAATCTGTGGTAGGTCTTGTCTGTCTGAAGTGTTGTTCAAGCCAGTCACTCACTCATGGAGCTGAGCCTTTCTTGAGAAGCTGCCTATTGTGTAGCTATTCAAGAACTTCCCAGAATTTTATGGAACCTAAAGGTTCATTACTGTCCCCACTAAAGCCCTCCACTGGTCCCTATCCTGAGCCAGACTGATCCAGTCCACACCATCCCATCCTGTCTCTCTAAGATCCATTTTTTATATTGTCCACCAACCTATGTCTTGGTCTTCCTGGTTGTCTCTTTCCTTCTGGCTCTCCCACCAGTATCATGCGTATGTGTATTAGTAACAGTAGAAGGCTAGACATGTAGAATTACTACAGAAGAGTAGAAGGCACAGTTGGATCAGAAGGACAACTATGATTTAATGTATTGCCTTCTTTATAAGTATAATATGTAATTATACTATTTCTTATAAAAACAGTAGCACATGGTACCAAGTAGTGGCCAGCAGTTTAAGGCATGAACTGTCTTTGCTTGCTTGAATGCTGGGATTATGGGTTCAAATCACACTTGTGGCATGGATATCTGTGTGTGTGTGTGTGTCCTGTGTTTGTGTTGTCCCGTGTTTAGGTAGTGGCCTTGCAATGGGCTGATCACTCATCCAAGGAGTCCCACTGTCTGTGTAAAAGAGATTACAAAATTGAAGAAGAGGCCAGGGCCCAACAAAGGGCTGTAGATCCATTGATGAATGAATGGATGAAATGAATAATACCTTATAGTGACACACTCATTGTAGAACACTGCTGCAGTGTGATCGGTAAAAATAGTCGTAAACAGCTTAAACACGAGTTTGTAATCACATTTTCTGTTCCTCCTCCAGCAAAATCCTGAAATTGGGTAGGTGAAAAGATAAAGACTTTTTTTTTGGATATGAAGTTAATTATGTGACATGTAACTGTGGTAAGGAACTAGCAATAATAATAATAAAAATGGAATCAGCATTAATCATATCAGAAAGTAGTTATTTTAATTCAAAATTGACCGTAGTTCTTATACAGAACATTTGTGTGTGAGTTTAATGAAATTGTTAAAGTACATTATTTGTAAGTTTTGTTAATGTTTTTCACAAAAGTAAAGCGAGTTTCATTAATATATTGATAAGTAAATGTGCATATCATTCTTTTGCACATTTGTTATGCCTTTTGTTTTTAAATGGCATTGGTTTCAGCTTTTTATTGTCACTTTGTAATGATGACAGCGTTAATATTTTAGTATTAAATCATTGCACTAAATCTGGTTAACAGCATCAGAGTATATTAAGTAACTAGAAGTAGCTAACAAAATATTCTCTGACATGGTGGTTCTTTTATGAAGGGCAGTCAAATGAAAACGGGTCAGAAGCCAAAACATATTAAAAAACATTTCTTACCTAAAAAGTAATCTCCAAAACTGTTAATACATTTATCCCACTGGGAGGTAAGATGGTCAGTCCCATCCTTGAAAAAGCTTGTGGGCTGTCTACGGAACCATGTCTTTACCCAGCGACACACATCTTCGTCTGATGCAAACTGATGTCCATTAATGTCTCTCTTCAGGTCTCCAAAAATGTGAAAATCACATGGGCAGAGATCTTGGCTGTAGGGGGGATGTTGAAGCACTTCCTAACCAAATCTCTGTGGCGTATTCCTCACAGAGTTGGCAGTGTGGGGGTGCGCATTATCTTGAAGAAGGATAATGCTGTTTGAAAGCATTCCAGGGCATTTTGACTTTATCACACATCTCAGTTTCGGCAAAGTGTCTTCATAGCGCCGTGCACTGATTGTGGCCCCATGCTTGAGAAATTTGACAAGCAGAACGCCCTTGCAGTTGAAGAAGAACATCGTCATCACTTTACTGGAACTTGTGTATATGGCTTTGGATTTCTTCAGTGGGGGAGAATTCACGTCTTTCCACTGTTGGCTCTGCCGTTTACTCTCGGGTTCAAAACAGTGGCACCAAGTTTCATCCCCAGTGGCAGTACGGGACAGAAAAGCATACTCTTCCTCATGGTATCGTTGCATGTGACCCAGTGATGCAGCCACTCTCTGAGTCTTCTGTTCCTCCGTGAGTTGATGTGGAACCCACTGCTCGCAGAGTTTGCAGTACATCAGGTATTTTATCACAGTGGCGTGTACAGAACCGCGACTTATTCCCATCAAAAGACTAATTTCTTCCATGGTGATCTGGCGGTTTGCCCAGATATGACCATCCAACGCAGCAATAACATCAGGAGTGATGACACGATGAGCCTGTCCTGGGCGAGCATCATCTTGCAAACATGACATGCTGTGTTCACTGTAAACAACAGACATGTGACGACGAATTTCTCATCCTCCTACTCCTTCAGCAGTCAAAAAGCGCACTACACTTCGCTGATCTTCATTACCACCTCCATTACTGATGTTGGATGACCACACATAGCGCTAACGTTACTTCCAGCACAATGAACAGACAACTAGTGTGCAAGGGCATGTTGTGACTGTGCTATCTCAAGTCCCCACCAGATGTTCGTACCGTAATCAAATTTCAGTGTTACCAACTTGTGCACCATGTGAGTTATGCATGGTGACCTGTTTTCATTTGACTGCCCCTTATAGATGCTGGATTGTTCATTCCATACCACCAATAAAATCTTAAGTTTTAACATGTGTTTGAGGTTTGAGCAAAGTTTAAACCTTGGCTCAAGATGGATATGGCTGCAGTGTTGAAAGTTCTGTCAGTAAAGTCAGCCATGAAGTGTTTGGTGCCTGAGTGATCTGTTTGATGTTGAGTAGTATGTAAGTTGAACTTTGGTTGTTGAATATGGGTAGCAGCCATTGATGTGATGTTTGCCTGTGCCATGGTGAAGCAGTCTGCCATATCCCAGTCATGCTAATGATGCTAATGATTAGTGCTTACATAACCACACTTTTGATATATAAATATATTATTTAGATCTTGCCAGAGGTGGTTCCTGAAATGTCAGTAATTTTGAAGTAACTTTTACAGCTGATAGCCCTAGAATATTTTATTAACTTTGTAATATTTAGTTTATGTTAAATAACATTATGAATTTAATTTAATATAAATATTGAGTAGAAAACAATTTGAGGAGCTAGCAGTTAAGACTTATTAGCAAAATTTCTAAACTGCAGGTAGTATGAAGAGTTCTGTCTTCTCCGATATAACGCTGTGCAGTCCATTGAAAGTCAGCCATTGTTTCAGAGGAACATCGGTTGACTTTCAGTGGACTACTCCATGTTAATTCCAGAAGATAGAACTCTCATAATCTCTGCTGTGAGAACCTCAGATCCTGTACAGGTAGTATGCTTGCAAGATCAGTTTCCAGCTAAGGTGACATCTTTCACTCAAACCAGAAATGAAGCACTGCATGCACAGAATAAGTTAAAATTTCAGACTGTCCTCTCATGTTTGAAAGAGACCTAACAGAATAAAACTGATTATGAATTCCTATAGCCTCAGCAGGTGGTAACTAACCTCATGTTTTTATTTCCATATAACTATTGCTTTGGTGTGGGTGTGTAACATGCTTCTATGGGAAGTGAAAGATTAGGTTCATTTCTTAACTGAAGCAACAGAGTTGTTCATTCAAAACCCAAGAATGTTATAATTACCAGCATTTGTCTTACATGAATGGAAGGTGATTAATACCCTTAAAATTTGGATTGCATTGTTTCAGATTTCTGAAGACAAATGATTGCATAATTGGGAATGTTTCTTATTATTTTCAATAGTTAAAAGATAATGGATTTTTCTTTATATGTAAATGCTGTTTTTGTCTCTTTCTCTTCCCCCATTAATGCATATTGATGAATAACTGTTTGGGTTGCAGTATCGTCAAGCTGTATCTAAGTCACCTCCTCATCCCCTTCAACAGAAGCAACGTTCATTTCTTACATTTGGATTTGGCGCTGGTGGTTCGGGCCCTACACGCCGAGAGTCACATGTTAATGTAAATGTGACACCAACCTCACATGATGTGGGCTCTGATACACCTGAAATTCGCAAGTACAAGAAGAGGTTCAATTCTGAGATCCTCTGTGCTGCCCTTTGGGGTGAGTAAATGTAATATTAATTTTGGGGTCTCAGGCTGTGAAATATGTTACTGTAAAGTCTGAAGTTTGGAAAGTGTATCTTAATACATTCACATCCATAAATGCATGTATGTGGTAATCTGGAACAGGCCTGTTTCACAAAAGAAAGACTAAGAAAACAGATTTAGTAAACAGCAGCATAACAAATACTAGTAACACTTGAAGTATATGCCAGCAATATGTGTAATGTGAAGAGAAAGCAGTTCTTGGTCAGAATGTTGCAGAATTACAGGCAAATGTTCATCACACATGTTTTCAGAGAACAGTGTCCTGCTAAGGGTAGCCATAATATTACTCTGATTGCTCCCTTAGCAGACTTCACAATATGCATACATACACACATACAGCCTGACCCAGCTATCACCCAAGTGGTAAAGAAACTTAACAAGAACGTTGCAGCCTGAGCTCATAAACAGTTAGGCATGGTAAACAGGTAAAATTGTTCATGAATAACATAACCTTTGAAGCAAAGCACACACATGCAAAAGAATGACTCAGAGACCTGATCACAGCAGCACATTGCCTTTCTCATGCACATGCAAGGGCACTCCAGTTAGTCTCAAATGAAATTCGATTTTCAAACTACACATTGTAGTACAGTAACGCAGGCATTCCAAATCAGAATTTATGTCTGCTCCTGTTCAAAAAAGATGAGAAGCTCTTGACAAGATATTAGCCTGTCTGAGGCAGAAAGAAGTGAGCAGGATTGGTTGAAAAGAAACATGTGAGACATGGCATGTTATGGGTCAGGAGAAGGGGTAGATGACATTGGGAGGTCATGGGATGTCGGATGGATGGTCTGACCAAATGTAGGCATGAGTTCCTTGTACATGTCATGATGCTGCACATCTCAGTTACTGTGAAAAAGAAAACACAGCATGTGAATATTATAGTAACTTTGCATGGGGCTGTGATAATGATGTGACTCTATCAGTGTCATCAGTATCACTGCGCTTGAATATGAATACATTAATTTTTTATTCTGTATGTTTGTCTAACATTTTCCTTGCACATATGAAAATTTTGCAGTGTACACACAAAAATTGGCAAAAGTATGAAATTTAAAAGGAATTAGTTGCAAAATGTTATGTTTCATTATTGTTCTGTGCTCTGCTGTATCCTTCTGTGATGCTTGCACATATTATAGTAATGTATTTTCATGAAATTTCTAACCAGTATCAATGTGTACCATAGTTAAAGAGTTTCACTTCAGTTTAGTAAAAATCTGTTTTTGGATCAGGAGTTTGAATGTCTGGTTATTTTTTTCTTAAGTTGGTATAGGCATTGCTGAAGAAAATGTTTCATGCTGCAAATGGGTTCAGAAGGGTAAGATAAACTTAGTGCTGGAACATGCTGAGTGTTGTAACAGAATGGATCATATCCAAGGTTGCTAATAAAGTCACTTAATCAGTGTTCTGCTGATTATTAGCTCATTAAAAGGGGCAAGAACCTGAACTGTTGAATAACCAGAGATTTACTGAAAATGCAGAATATGCCTGAATTTAGGATTATGTTTTATGTAACTGCTTCTGGAAATAATGCTCAAGACTCTGGTTAGGGAGGTGTGTCTCGAATAGGATGAAGGCCTTCCCTCTAGGTAGATACTAGGATGTCCCCTCAGTTGGACCACTACTTACTCTTCCCAAACCCCTTCCAGGTGTCTCGCACTATGTTAGTCTTGGTACTGAAATCATCATTAAACACACATACTGTATTTGTAACATTAAGAGTGAATGGCTGTGAAAACTAAAAAAAAAAGTGTTGTGGAATCCTGGGCAAATATTGTTTGGTTGATGCTATCAGAGAGGAGGAAGCATTATTGAGCATGTTTGTGTTGATTTGGTAATGGAGAAGAATTGGGGAATCGTGGTTGTGGATGTGTATTTCAGGTTTCAATTAAGACCTGATGATTTCAATAGTTTTCACTAGTTTTGATTGATCAGTTGGTTGGTTGGTTGGTTGGTTGCATGGTTTGAGGACAAGAGAATGGGTATATATGATTTTGTATTTGTGCATCTAAGGGGAAGGCATATGCTGATGTCTTTTATTCTATGACATGACAGAAAAGCGTAACAAATGACATAATCTGTTGCTAGGCATTGGCACAGTAACCATGTTATTACATCATCAAAGAAGTGAGGCATTGCTAGAAAATGAATAAACATGCAACACTAGAAGAACTTCATGAAGAATTAAACAGTTCCATCCAGTGTGACTGGTGAAGGTTTTTCTTATTTCAATTATTTAGGCCCTTACATGTTTCGGTCTTCAGAGACCATCATCAGAGGGACACCTTTACATCGATACAATTGGAGGCTACTATTACAATATATGTTCTGAAAGTTAAAGTGTATACATATAGAATAATATACAATTGAGTATAAAATCTAAAGTCTTTACAACTACAGCGGCTGTTCCAATATTTTAAAATATTTATAATTGGTTTGTTAAGACTCTATTTAAATTTGTAAACCAAGGAGGTTCATGTCGTCCCTTTTATTATTTCTATTGATTGGGGGTGAACGTGTGGTGCGTTATCATTATCAAGAAGAGGGTTGTTTGATGTTGTCCTGTATGTGTTTGTGGTGCGCTGTGTTGTAAAAACACAGAGACAGGCCAGAATGAAACAAATCAAATTCACTAGAAGAACTGTTCAAGATGGTGTTTTCTGCGTGGTCCATGCCAAAGCTACACAGCAAGCACAAACAAGACAAGTTAGTTGAGAGTGATTGGGTCTACAAGTTTTGATTTGTGAGGCAGTTGCCATCCGATAATGACATGAACATAGAGACAGAGTATCTCCATTGTTGGCAGCTATTACTGGGCAGCAGATAGTGAAGACTTATCGTGTACTGTAGTGAGAGAAGCGGAGTTCATGAGTCAGTGAAAGCATTATAATTACACGTTGTTACATGTTATAAGAGTTCAGTAAATCCAGTTACCAATCCAAACTCCATGTTTAGTTACTTACGCTCGAGAATCCTGTGTCTGAAACATCTTTGACGGTGTGTCATTATAAAATAATGATTTGGTTATGTCAGTATTAGATTGTTACTAGATTCGATTTTCACCATATAATAGGATCAAAAGTGATTACCAGATGGCAGATCTTACTGAATGCGCATGCCCTTTCTTCTCTGAGGTTGCCTACTTAAGGTAGTATGTGACCTAAGAGATGTTCTAGAAGAAGTTACATGTATGTTACATGTCAAAGATGTGAAATTTATATTGTGACATGTGGGCCATGTGTAGGAAACAAATTGGCAAATACGTTGCTACAGAGAGGTTACGGAACACAGGTTCCATGAATACAAAAACTGAAAGTTGTAAACACTTAGAAACCAGACAGTTGCTTCAGAATTTACGACAGAGTTTGTATTACACATATAGAAATGAGTTCAGTATGTGAGCTGTTATAATTGACTGTAACTGTAAAGAAGTGCCAATAAATCTAATCATCAAATCCAGAACTCATTATTATTAGTCATGCCAATCCCTTATAAGTGACAGTACGAATATCCATGTACTTATAATTGTGCCGGTATTCAAATGTGTCAATTTTCAGGATTTTCTTTTTCTGGCAGCCTTTGTGTGTCTTTTGAATTTCAGTTATTACATATAGAAGTGCCTTGAAAAGTGTGACAGACTTATGAATTATTTTTATATTTCTTTTAGAAATACGAGGCATACATGTTTCTTATTTTAAAAACGTATCATGGTGCTCCTTAATGTCATGTCATTCACATTAGAAATTTGTTTATTGCATCAGAAGTCATTAATAATATATTTGCAGATGCATATAATTGCTACCTAACGTTTCTTACATTCTGTACTAATGGAATTGTGTGGCACAGGGGTGAACCTGCTGATTGGAACAGAGAATGGACTGATGTTGCTGGACCGCAGTGGTCAGGGCAAGGTTTATCAGCTCATCTCAAGGCGACGATTCCAGCAGATGGAGGTTCTGGAGGGACAGAACATATTGGTGACTATCTCGGGAAAGAAGAACCGTGTGCGTGTCTACTACCTCTCATGGCTCAAATCGAAAATTCTCCGCACGGATGGGGTGAGTGATGTAGGTGACCATAACACTTTTATTATGTCTGTTCTTCAGTATTGCATGACCTACAGTTACAAATGAGTCTTTCCCAAAAAGCCAGATCTTGCTGCTGAGAAGAACATATGGACAATAATTGAATGTGTTTTTAATGTTAAACAAGTCAGAATGTAGGCTGTCAGCTAGAATTACTATACAGTACCTCTGTTAGTATTTGTCTTATTGCTCCGACTGCAGCTGCAAATGATCACTGTAATGTGTATAAGTTCCCTTTGTGTTTCTTTTGTTGTAAGATTATATAAAGCTTATAAAAAGGTTTTGCTGTAAGTATCCTGGTATTTGGGTTCCACCTTTATCGACACTTTTCAGATTGGTTAAGAAAGCTTGTTCAAATCTTTCTTTGTCAAGAAGTACACTAGACAGAATACTGTGCCAACTGAAGAAAAACTTGATGAAATTGTAGACAACTTAGAACATCTGCCTTGTAAATGTGTGACACAGCATAACAGGCACCTGTTTCAAGCACAGTAGCGTTGAGAGCAACCAAAAAGCTACATATAGCGCCATTTGAAAGTAGACAGCTTCAAGCTGGGCCCTTCTTGAGAAGCTGCCAGTTGTTTAACTACTCGAGAACTTCCCAGTATTTATGGAACCCGAAGGTTCATTGCCATGTTCATAAGGGCCCTGCACTGGTCCCTATCCTGAGCTAGATCAATCCAATCCATACCATCCCATCCTGTCTCTCTATGATCCATTTTAATATTGTCCACCCACCTGCGTCTCCGTCTTCTTAGTGGTGTCTTTCCTTCTGGCTGTCCCACCAATATCCTGTATGCACTGCTGTCCCCCATTCGTGCTACATTCCCTGCCCATCTCATCCTCTTTGACTTGATCATTATAAAGAGTGCAAATTATGAAGCATCTCATTACGCAGTTTTCTCACTGAGTTCAGATTAGCTCTTTCTAAGGGGCCCAACTGAGTAGGTGTCTTCCCCCCCTTACCTGAGGATGGAAAGAGATACATTTTCTGAAACATTGTGTTTTCTATTTTCTGGAATGCCGGATGATGGAAAAAGTCCAAAAACCCAGTAATTCTGTGAACCTAGACTCTCTTTGGCTGAACTTTTGATATTCTCTCTTAAGTTTTCCAAGCCCTATTAATATCCATCTCAGTGTCTAATAAGTTTTCCAAAACTGCAAACTTATTTGAGATTTCAGTCTGATAGTGCTCTTTACCCTCTACTTTGTTTAATTTCTAGAGATTGAACCTCTCCATATGAACTTTGTGCATTGTTTGTTTACTCACTGCCAGTCTCTCCCTGCCTTCTGCCACCACAACAGTATAGCTATTTGCTCCCCTGAATGCTCAGACATCAAGTATATTTGAATGTTGTCTCCTGTCCATCAAAATATGATCAGTTTGATTGTGCTTCTTTCCATCAGGAGCTGTCCAAGTAAATTTATGAATGTTACAGTGTGGGAACATTGTACTTTTGGCAATAAGATTTTTGGAAGTAGCAAAATTTACTACTCTAACTCCATTATCATTACTAATTTTGTGTAAACTCACATTCCCAGTTGTTGATTTGAAAATGTCTTCCCAACCTACTTTGGCACTGGTGGGCTATGACCATTTGGAATGATGATGTCACACCAGCAACCTCTTAGCATTATGTATGACTTCCTATCGCTGGCAAACTCTACCCTCTTAACAGCTGATATGATTCTCTTATGTATGAAAAAACCTGTGCCTGATTCATGATTCTCAGTCTCCTTTCCTTAGAAAAATGTATATTTGCTTGCTGATTCAGTGCCACCTCCATCCCATCTGACCTTCTGTACTTCCACTAAATCTTACATATGTTTTAAGATTTCTTCAGCCATTGCCCTGAGTGAACCTGCCCTATACGTACTTCTGGCATTCCAAGCACCAAATTTCATTTCCATAGTCTTTTGTTTAGGTCATTTATCCAAAGAATTGGTCCAGGTCCAAGGCTTCTTGTGATCTTTTGTAAGAAGCTTATTTTTTACAGTGAATTGTTAGCCCCACATCCAACTCCCAAGCTCTAGGGCCACCCCTTGTCAGCTGTTTATGACTGCTTATTCATTATATACTCAACAGCCCTCCATATCTGATGGCCATCTCCTCCATCCGTAACCTGAGAATGTGCCATGCCGTGGTGACTCTTTATCACATGATACATTATTTTATGTGAAATGTCTTATTTTGAAGACCCATTAAATGAAGTTTCACTTGTATAATTAAAGTGAAATTGTCAAGTGAGAAAGTAAATTTGTATCGCTACTTGTGCTCATGTTCCATTTTTCTTTTTAATGAATCTTCACCCTGTAAACTCTGGAATCAGGAACACAGAAATTATATGAGACCCCAGTAAGGAGGTTGGCCTAGAGTAAATTAAGTAATATTTATGGCTTATTTCAAGAGTTCTGCAGAGTTGTAACATGAAGATGTTTAAATCTCATACCATTTTAGAGGATCATCGAAAAAGAATGCCGGGATTATGAAAACCTATCACTCAAAAACTGTTATCAAGTTTTAAAATGCGGCAAAACAATGTAAGTTTTGGGTATGCTGAGTTGATGGTGGGTAGCAAATGGTGTTGAGATGCTTTTGTTGGTTGACCAATTGATACAACTTGTGCAGAAGGCCGCCTGTGAGATGTGGACCGTGCAACAGAAGGCTGAGTTTGTCTTATGGTATGTAGAATTGAAATCTGTTGTAACAGTGCAACATAAATGATGAAGGCTACATCTAGGAGAAACACCATCAGATAATAAGGCTCTGAAACGTTGGTTAAAACAGTTCACAGAAACAGAAAGTGTTGCAAAACAGAAATCCTCAGGTTGGCAAGGAACATCAGAAGATAATGTGGAGCGCATTAGACAGTCCTGTGTAAGGAGCCCTAAGAAGTCAATCGCTCATTGGAGTTTAGAATTAGGGATTCAAGAAACTATGATTCAAAACATTACTCACAAGCATTTACACCTTTATGCCTACAAGCTTCAGCTGAAGCATGAACCAATTTCACTTCTGCATACCATACAATAAACTCAGCCTTCTGTTGCATGGTCCACATCTTGTCTGGCACTGATTCGCACTGGGAGGTAAAACTAGCAGGGCTCAGAAAATCTGATGGCCAGCCTTACACACAAGTTATGTCAATTGTCCAGTTGACAAAGGCATCTCAGTGTCACTCGCTACCCTCCATGAACTGATCATATCCAAAACTTGCATTCTTTCACCACATTTTAAAACTTGAATCATATCAATATGTTTAGCAGTTTTGAGTGATATTTTTTTCTAATGCTGGTATTCTTTTTTGGTGACAGTAGTTTTGTAGAGAGATGCCCATCTTTTTGAGGAACTTATCTACAAAACTACATGGTGTTACAAGCCAGAAGATTGTATGTAATCTTCCTACTCTCTCAGGTACTACATCCATCAAAATGTTTACACAGTTCAGGCATGTGGGACACACACATTATAATATTATAAGCCCCTTCCCCTCTTCATTGCCTATCCATACAGAAGGAGGAAAGCAATAAATAAACAGAGATAACATACTGTTGTGTTACAACTGCTATGTTACTTGTGTTGTTTACATCATACGTCTGATTGGTCTGTTGGTTTTATGCCCATTTCCAGCAAGTAGAACGTCGAAATGGATGGATTAATGTTGGAGATCTTCAAGGTGCTGTTCACTTCAAGATTGTCAAGTATGAACGTATAAAGTTTCTTGTTATTGCTCTCAAAGACAGCATTGAGATCTATGCCTGGGCACCAAAACCTTATCACAAGTTCATGGCTTTCAAGGTAAGAAAATTTGAAACCCAAGTGTTCACACACTTTATAATTCTACTGTCCATCAAAATTAACTCATGGCAATAATATAACTCTATTGTATAGAATGTCAAATCCAAACAATAAAGTAAAACTTCACTATGACATGCCTCAGTATATTAATATTGTGGGTGTAGTCATGTCTCCCAGAAGGATTCCATTTATTTTCTTTGTAAACAGCTTTGTTTCAAATTTTACTGCAATGTTTTTCTCTCTAAACAATTTTGTTCAAATGACTGTGTCTGGTCAGTCACTCTGAGAGGGTAATATGACCTTGCACATGATCATTGATTTACTAAGGAGACTCTGATCCTTTTCTGCTAGAGCTAAAGAAAAGCCCTTCAGTGTTGGAATTGGTTTAGCAGGTTGAAAATACTGCATCCAGGCTAAGGTAATGAAACACATTTCTAAAGGCTTTTTCAGGAATGTGTTACTGCTGTCTTTCACTTGCCTCCTTAATACAGTTACATTATTATTTTTTATTATATGTCCACCAGAAGGAAAATGTATACAAAGAGTTTTGTGAGATTTTACGTAAGATGATCAATGAAGAGCAATTGTACAATTCTGCTGGAACTGTACTCAACTATAGAATGCTTCCAACCTACTTTCTGGATGTTAATGAATCAGCAAATAAATAACTAATTAAGTAATTTTATGTAGCTGAGCTCTTCTTGAGAAGCTCTACAGTCAGTTTTATCACCCTTCTTGCAAACTGTACAATAATAGACTTCTTCCACTGATCAGGAAATTTTTCCTTATTCCAAACAGAATTAATTAGCTTAATATTTCACCTCCTGCTTGACTCATTTCTGCCAGAATTTGATTACTGCCTGGCCATTTATATATTTTCAACTTTGCACTAGCAACTTCACCCTGAAAAGAGCTAAGCTCATGTACTAACAGCTCAGCTGTATGTATTTCTATCTGCCTGACATTATTCATTGTATGTACATTCAGTAACTGAGAGAGGTAGTTCTCCCACCTATCAAAAATGTTGTGGGAATCTGCAAGCAGATGACCATTGTCATTCATCAGTAAGTTACTTCTAGGTTAGTAACCCCTCTTAAAGTCATTTATTCGTCTGTACAGGTCTCTATAATGATCTTGTTCTAATTGTTCATTGCAAATTCTTCAATTTTGTCTTTCAGATATTCCCTCTGTTTATTCCTGAAATGCCTGCTGGTTTCACATCTTATATTGTTCAGATTATCCCCATTTATTTTGCTTTGATCCTGTAACCTCTGCAGTTTGGCTTGTTTCCTTTGATCTAAGAATTTTGAACATCCTTTGTCAAGCCATGGCTTATGCATCTTCAATTCATAATAACCTATACTGTCTTTGGCTGAAATTTTCATATTCCCTCTGATAGTTTCCAAAGCTCTAGAAATATCCCCCTCAGAATCTAAGTTTTCCAAAGCTGCAAACCTATTTGGGAATTTAACACGATACTTCTTTTTTACCTCATTTAATTTCTTGATATTCACATAATCCCCAATTTGATCACCCTCGTAATTTTTAATAGTGCAAATTGTGAAGCTCTTTATCATGCAATTTTCTTCAGCCATATGTTACTTTCCTGTGGATGTGTTATGTGAAAAATTTGTTGCAGTCATTTGGTGACCTGATACATCGGCCCCTATTGGTAGACCTCACAGTGGAGGAGGGTACAAGACTAAAGGTGATCTATGGTTCTGCGGATGGTTTTCATGCTGTAGACCTTGATTCTGCATCTGTCTATGACATTTATATACCAAAACATGTAAGTGTTCTCATGCCACTGAATTTTTATTTAACTAGTGCTGTGGGCTTCTGATAATTGTCCATTTTAAATATACAGGGAAATATGGCAAAGAAGAAGAAAGACAGTATGATGTAAATAGAAGCATTGCTCAAAAGCTGTCTTATTTTAATCCTGCTTCCCAGTAAGATTGTTAGAGCAAGGTCCAATTATATGTGCAGAATTCAGCTACAGACATTAAGCCTGTGAGAGATAAAGCTTAAACACTTTGTTATTACAGATGTAGCCTTCGATAAAAAGTAAAAGTGATAATATTGACTGTTATTGGAGAAGCCTCCAATAACAGTCCCTTATTGGTTGAATAGTATTACGCTGATAGCGGCTACCTGCGAACGCTTCCGACTAATCTCTTCGCGGCCACTTTGATGGTACGCGGATGAGGCAAGTTACGAGGAGAGGGATCGGGGAAGTCCTGTCCTGGGTATTGCATCAGAAACATGAATCATGATGAAATGTTGAGTCAAATAGGCAACATATTCTAATATGGAAAAGAAAAATTGTATACACACGACCATGATTGAAAATTTGAACATAAAATTAAAAAATAGGTGATAAACATTTAGAAGGTAAATATGCAGTATAAATAGAGATCTTCGAAAATATGATGCTTATTCATAAAACAGGCAAAATGTGCATTTATATGCACCATCAAACCATGTCCAAAATTTAAGAAATGAAATAATTCATGCATATTTCCAAATGAGCATACTTTCTGGTTGCAAGAAAGAAATATGCATTTGCATTAAAATCCTGTCCCTGTTCATCACACAGTTCCAGGTGCACTTTTTTTTTGGAGGGAAACTGAAAGTCATAGCAGTCCAATTTATCTCATTCCATAGGAAATGCCCACTTATTGCTTTGAGTGCTTCTGGCTATCCTGCCAGTTGCTAAAGCACCTCTAGTGGTCCAGTTTCTGGATTTCTCTTCAGTTTGGGGAACATAAAAAAGACCTCTTAGTGCCAGATCTACTGAATATTGTGGATGGAAAACCATTGTAATATTTGACAGCCCAAGATTTGCATGTTCAAGAGTTATGATTATTGTGACATTCTTGTGGCCTGAGGGAAGAATTTTCTGAGATTCTTCCCATAGCTCTGGTTAAAATCATTTCACATTTGCCAATTCCAGCTGCAACTTTCCAGCTCGCTCTTGTCTGTCCTCTTTACTTTGGTGATATAAGCAAGCTATTGAGTCTTCAGGATAGAATCACCATTTTCTTTCACAGCATTTCAGATGTCTTTGAGAGGAGCACATTTATCACATTTTTCCAAAGCATGAAAACTTCATCCTCATGTTGGTATTCAGTTTTTACCATTTCATGTTTTTCTTGGCTGTCTTCCCACCTCCATGTAGAGTTTGAAGAATAAACATTGGTTCTGCACAATCTTTCTAGCTGCATCATTCAGGCCTACCTAATACTTTTTTGTGGTGATATTCAGAACCAACCCACCTCCCTTTCCCTCCCCCCCCACAGATTATGGAAGATTCAACGCCAAAAACAAATTAGATGAATTTTTGGACACCAGTCTCATATTGGTCCAATGTCATAACTTTCATATAACATTGAGTAACTGGTACAGTGAAACCAGTCAGTGAACTTTTTAATGAGGCCTTGTATCACTTTTTTGCTCACTAAAGAAAAAAAAGAAGGTGGAAAAATGATACAGAGACCAGAGGTTCTTGAATTCTGGAGATAAGAAACATAAGCAGGAAGTCATTGTACAGAAACCCCCCCCCCCTCCAAAAGATGGTCCTTTGGCAGTATCTACCTTCCTGGAAATGGTGAAGGTACACATGTCTGGGAAATGAGCATATAGTAAGCAAGATTCTGTTTCTTACCAGTGGTAGGATAAAAATTATGGATGACAAAATAGACAGCTTAACATGGATTCCAAACCATGGTGAGGGTATGGTGTGGAGAATCCACATATATTGGCTAAGAAATCCAGCATCTCAAGTTTGACTACCAGGCATCCTCACTTTGTACGAGAATTGTACAAGTGGGAACACTGTAAGAGCACATCACTATATCTGTTTTTCCTGTTCTTTACAGACACAAGGACCAATCTCACCTCATTGCATTGTGCCACTCCCGAACTCAAATGGGATGCAACTTCTGCTCTGTTATGATAATGAAGGTGTCTATGTTAATACATATGGCAAGGTCAGTACAGACTCACTGCAGATTATTTCAGGAATTGATTTGGCCTGAAAATGAATATGTTTCCTGTTCAACACATTCACTGACAGGAATTGTAATGGCTATTTTAACTGATGGTCAATGATTTTTGTTGTGTCTAAAGGTTGATTACTCGATTTTATAAGAACTGAGTGTCTGGTTGAGTGATTGTTAAACCTGGGGTTTCTTATTTTAGAAGCCCCAGGTTTGTTTCTAGGTCTGGAGCCCAGTGATTGTGACTTTTTAATCCTCATCTTCAGAAGCAAATACTGGGATAAACTCATTCCTGTTCACCAGTTCCAGTAAATCTCCAGTTGGATTCTGTATAACTAAACACTTCAGAAAGTTTCATTGGCTAAACTAATAAAACATTTTCATGACATTGACCTTTTATCTCATGAGGATAAAAAAATGTAAAGCTATCTCTATAACAGGCTGTGGAGACCCAAAGGGTTATGAGATGTTGAGGCTCCCACCTTTTCTAGACAGTCAGCTCATGTATGGCAGTGAAGCTGTCAGCCTTACATGCTGGCAGCCCTTTACCCCCAGGAAAATTCCTGGAACCCATTTGTTTTAGAGGCTGAGTCGACTCCAGTGCTGTAATGCTGCTGGAAGGATGAGGTCAATTGAAAAAATCCCATGGCCTCATCGGGAATTGAACCCATGACCATCCAGCTTGTAGCATAGTGCCTCAACCAACTATGCTANTTTCGCCCCCCCCCCCGATCTTATGAGGATAGGGGGTAGGAGTTTCAGATTCCAGGGGCTGGTTATCTGTCATTAATTTGGGGTGAAGGGTGAACTATTAAAGGCATGGATGTTTGGTGTGTGAATGTGTTTATTCTGTGTTTTGTGTTGTCCTGTGTTTAGGTAGAGGCCTTGCGACGAGCTGATATTTCGTCCAAATAGCCCTACTGTCTGCGAAAAATGATTTTGGCACTGAATAAGAGCCCTGGGCCCTGAATGGGCTGGAAGAGACATTGAAAAAAAAATAGTGAGCTGAGGTTTGGAGTGATTCTATGCAGATATTTAATAACAGACTACATGAAGGAGTCAGTGCTAGTATTGTTTTCACTCTGATTTCAGGTATCAAAGAACATTGTCCTGCAGTGGGGAGAGATGCCAACATCAGTTGCATACATTGGAACGGGTCAAATCATGGGTTGGGGTAACAAGGCCATTGAAATCCGCAGTGTTGAGACAGGTCACCTGGATGGAGTATTCATGCATAAAAAAGCCCAAAGGCTAAAATTCCTCTGTGAAAGAAATGATAAGGTAATTTTATTGCATTTGTGTGCTTTCCCACATTAAATGTCTTGAGCATCTGTATATAGATTATGTCCTTCAAAAACATAAGAGAGATAACTTCATAATTGTGGAACAGACGGAGGAACATTTTTTCCCTTAGATGAAGGTGACATTAGTCTCCAGCAAGTGGCAGAATGAATATGTGATTTTGTTTACCTAACTGCAAAATATATGATATAAACTCCGTCCTAAGTGCAACAATTTATTGTAGGTCTTTCGTCTTGCTTTTTTTTACACTACATGTTTTGGCCGTAAACGGCCAACATCAGGTGTATACACTCACGTAGCTGTTACACCGCACTTAGTTTAAAATTTAAAACACAGGTCTTCCCAGTTGTTCCCTTTGTCATTGTTAATAGAATCTGCTTTGCTGATGTTTGTCTGATTCGTACATTATCTTTGTTACCTACACACGTCAATTTTGACTTTCATGAACTGGCACTTTTAAATCTTCAGTTCCAATTTTAAAAATTCCTTTAAAATTTTTTTCTTCTAAATTTTAAAATTTAAAATTCTCAGGGTTACTCGCCCTATGTCTATAATGCTGCAGCGGCTACTTCTTGTTTTCAGCACTGTACAGGTGTTATTCTGTGTAGGCTCCCTCTGTCTGCTGCTAAAGGCAGTCATCTACAGTAAGTCCTTGAAAGGACCATGCCATAGCTCAAGCGGTTAGTCACTGGCTTCCCACCGTGGCGGCCTGGGTTCCAGCCTGGGTCATGTCATGTAGGATTTGTGGTGGACAAAGTGGCACTGGGGCAGGTTTTCTCCAAGTACTTTGGTTTCCCCCTGCAAATCTTCATTCCACCAATTGCTCCATCATTACCATCATCTATCATCTGGGGCTGGTACAATAGGCCAGTAGTGGCTGCAGTACCACGTGTACTCAGTCTCACCCTACAGTTTTGCGGATGAGAACACAAAAAGATCCGCTGTTTCTAGAAATACATAGATAGCAAATGCAAGGAATGTTTTATTTTAGAGCAGACATACTAGTAAGAATAGCAAGTAAGAGAGATAAATTTACTTTAAGGTCAGAAGCTACAAGCTGCTGTGAGGTTAGCTGAAGTACCACCAGATTTACAAAACAGAAGCAGCAGTTCACAGATTTACAATATCATGTGATTTTATGGTAACGCATGTGTGACTGAGTGTAAAAGGTGTAGAACTTGTCAAGGAAAGAAGCATTAGTGTTAAAGAGAGTAACGTGTCAAAAAGTATCGGGTGCTGCAGTTAAGGTTCATACTTTGGAACTAAGTTGATTAAAGATTCAGGACAAACAAATGACTATGAAGAAAGCAGTCTTCTGGGATTTGGCACCGTGTATATGTGGTGTTAACCGACGTTTCGGAAGAACGTATCGCCCCCATCTTCAGGGTTTCTTCAACCCTGAAGATGGGGGCGATACGTTCCTCCGAAACGTCGATTAACACCACATATACACGGTGCCAAATCCCAGAAGACTGCTTTCTTCATAGTCACCGCCGTGAAAGCCTCAAATCTTACAAATGACTATGAAGCAGTGAGAAAATAGTGCATCTCCTGAAGCAAACATCTGACAGTGGGAACAACAGAAACCAGAATTTGCAAGTTCTACATGGAAATTGTCATTTGTGTGGATTCGAAGGCAGAATGGTATGTTAGTTCTGTGCAACTTTGTTATCCAGCGAGAGGCTTCAGATTGAGTCCAGCCCAAGGTAGTGTGTACAACTGAAGCATGGGAAACAGGGTTTCTCTATGGCAGAGGTCTTCACTTTGAAAAAAAAGTTGCCGTCACACTTTGAGACATTGTTGATAAATTGCCAGTGTATTTTGGTAGGGGACTATGTTCTGAACTCCAGGAACAGAGGGAAAGTCCATTTATGTAAAACCACTGTGCCAGTGGATCAAGATCATGGCAACAGATCTTGCCAGAAGTGATGTATGTCTGCTGAAGTGGTGTGAGCAGTGAATGTGGGACTGGAGATGGTAATTATGAAGACGCTGAAGCTGAGACATATGATAGGAATGGTGAACAGAGTGGAACTGGTGAAGGAAAATGAAGGCTAGTGATTTCAAGAAGGAAACTTAACACAATAAAGTTCATGTATAACATGTAAAAGGTAAAGTTGTCTGTGTTCTTAAATAATTAAACACTACACCATGAAGGTGTATGTGGTATTGGGTGCATAGATCCAATTTTTTTTACCTTGGTACTAGTTTGAGGTGAGTGGTCAGCTTCACGCCCCTGCCGCTTTACCCCCCGGGGAAAGAGCTGTTTTGATGCAGATATGTAGTCTGTTAGACTGTTAGAGGACGGTCTTATTCTCATCTCAATTGTTGAAATTTTCACACATTTCCATCTCGAACTGAAAACATAATTCTTGCTTGATCCTACTGATAATTGAATGACTATGGGCTGTTAATGAAGTGGATATAAAAGTTATGTCTGTGGTAGAGAATTGTGTCTAAAATTCTTTGGGCACAAGTAATAACATTATTTTTCATAAATATTCCTCATAAGTCCAAATATATTCGTGAGCAGTTTATTTTGAATTTTTGTTCCTCCCTAAAGCCAGACCCCATTATGCACATGTATGGGAAAGCATAAACAGATTATGTTGATCAATGTTTTGTCATTTAGATATTTAGGTTTGGGTCTCATGATATTTCATGCTGCTTACAGGTGTTTTTCTCCTCTGCAAAAGGTGGTTCATCTTGTCAGATTTACTTCATGACATTAAACAAGCCGGGAATGGCCAACTGGTGATTGCCTCAACTTGAACATACCACATCACCATGGGGACTGTTGGAAGCCGAACTGAGCCAAGTAAAACTTTAGAATCGGTTAGCCAGTCAAGTTATAGCAAGAGTACTCTGCTATTGGTGCCATGAAATATGAAATGCTGTTGAGGACTGGAAGCTAAATTATGGTGATTGTTCCTTCATGGTAGTGCAGCCATAGTTGCTGAGTCCCTGTTGTACATTTCCTAACATAAATTTCATTCCATCTTAATGCATTGCCTCAAGGGAGCTAAGTCATTTAGCAGTCACAGAAAGCCAGAACAGCTTTCCTTGCATAATAGTGAGATTGTGCAAGCTTATGTAACAACACTGTGTTCTTCAGGGAAACATCTTTAAACCTATGGTGGCCATATGTAGGCACCTCAGAGATACTGTTAGAAGAACTGATTTATGTACTACACATTATTTGGAGTATTGTTCTGTTTCATTTAAGAAAATTTAGCACTCTGAGGATATTTGTATTTTTGTTAAAAGAAAGCTTTAAACAGACTTTTTCAGTGTTATATTTAAGAAAGTATCTGTTTTGGGTTTGTTACCTTCATGTTATGTATTGGGACTACAGTTGTCCCTTGCTTAATAAGGGGGTTATGCTCTTCTCTTATACTATGGCTGTCAAGAAGCTGTTCTCCAGGGGCTTATTCTTGAGGAAGAAACAGATTAAGGGGAATCAGATTAGCCTCTGAAACGTACATATACAAAAGCTCAAGTTTCAGAATAAACAAGTGTAGTATATATACTAAATAAATCACTTTTATTTATACCTATTGTACATATACAAAACGTAGGAATTAGTGTAATACGGTATGAATAAAGTACCTATTTTACCACAAAGAAAGTGCTTTCTTAACTTTCTGCATTATGGATCATGTCTTTTATAAGTAAATTTTATAATCTTCAGCATTAGTCCTAATAGCTGCTTGACTTCATTTAATAGTTTTGATGGAAGGTTCATTGATACAGAAATTCCTTGAAACAGATTATGTAATTTCACCATATTCTATTGATTTTTTGTTATAGTCATTATTTTTATAACCTTTCTTTCAGTAGCATCACTACAGTTATGATGTAAAGCCATATTTTTAGAACAATGCAGTCCATCATAAAAGAAGGAAAGTTATTCCAAGTTTGTGAAGGGCATGTTACACTATCTGACACAGATGCTCTTACTGCAATAACCACAGCATCATTGAGAGACATGATTGTAGATGTGAGTACGTTGTGATCTTGGCTGTGCATACATCTGCAGATCAACACGTACTAACCTGATGATAATCTAAACATAACTCTATTGTATAAAAAGAGTGTATAAAATTGTGTATAATGAAATCCATGTTAACCAGACCCATCCTGAATGAGGAATTACTGTGTTATACATCATAATATTAAACTTGCATGAGAATTCCAAATTCTGGAAGTTGAAAATCGAACATGTAGGATACTTATGTTTATATTTACTCAGAATATTTGTCACGTTATGTACTAAATTTCAGGAGTGTTTAGACAAATAAAGAAAGCATGTAGGTGGAAGGACATTAAAATCACCATACTTGATGCTTCCAGTGGCTACGTAAGTGGTGATTGTATGTTATGAATACCATATATCAATGCTTTAGTGAATGTATTCATATATTACATGACAAAAGCAAGTGACAGATTTTCATACTGGCATTAATGTGTTAGAAACATTAATCTGACATATGACATTTCCTAGAAGTAAAAGAAGTGATTGGTGAACAACTTTCAAAGACTTTTTAAGTGGCCCGTGTCTGCGTATTACATCAGAGTAGACAGTTCTTTCTGCAGGAACTGGTGAAGAATGGTTAGTTTTTTCTACATCCATGTTGTTACCGCTTTCATTGGTAACAGTGAGCTGAAGTCTCTTTTGTAACTCCCACCCCCTAATCTTTAATGACTGAAATATTCAGAAATGGTGTCCTTAAATTCATAAATTTGTATTTTATAATATGTGATTTTCATAGGCCAGTTAGCATGATAAAGAAATATGTATAGAACTGAAAGTAAAATGGTTGTAAAGAAAAAATGAACTTATTCCTGTAGTATGAGAATTGTTTTCAGTTTGTTTTGTTAAAGTGACATGGTGTGTTTAATTTCTATTCAGAAAGAACCAGGCATTTTCCAGTTTTTGCTTTGGGCCATGTTATAGTCACAAAACTGATAGATTATAGACCCAGTCAGAATTTTTGAATCCTTATGAGAGATCTGATATTAGGGTCGTTTCATGTCTTTCAATTTCATGTGTAATTTTATATAATAATGCAATTTACATCTGTGATTCTGTTTTCATGTCAGTCTCTAAGTTGCCAACTCTACCAGGCACAGTTTTGTGTGTATATGTATGAGTGAGGAGAGGAATACTTGACTGAGCAAGCATTAGTTGTTTCTTCAACATCTTTTGTGAAGAGATGATGGCATATATACTCTGAAGATACATTTTGGTACTTATGAATATTGGAATTGGGTAATTCTATAGAAATTATTCAGAAAAACTCAGTACTCCTTAATTTAAATTTCTGAGGGTTGTCCCTATTTTCTGTTTTAAAATGTTCCACACATTTCTGTTGCAATATTTGTAAGTGTCTGTATTAAGTTCCACAGTTAGATTTTTCAAGTGGTGGTTATGATGAGGATGTGTGTGATTTTATTCTGTTTGGTAACAGATTTCCATGAATAAAGTTGGAAGAGTTGGCAGCAGTGATGGCTTCCAAAGTGAGGACTTTAAGAACTATAGTAATTCAGCTCAAAAGTGCAGCAATTTAAAGAAAACTATATATGATATATATTTCTTTTTGTTGTAACTTATATTACAGTAACTGTATAGTAACATCAATAACTAACCTATAAATAACCATAAGCGTTACTCCCCCTTTTATTGAAGAAATGCACATGACATATTCAGATCTGCACAAGCTATTACCAGTGAATCAACTGGAACATTTTGTGTGAGCTCAGAATCCAGTTTAACCTTCATGATTACATATTACCGTTGCTGAGGAGTAGATATGGTGAAATGTTTTTTGATTCCTTGGCCCTCAAGATGGATCATATTTAGTAAAAAGTTAATAAATTTTGAAGATGTAGTGTTAAAAGGAAAGAAATTCAAGAAAATATGCACTTGATAGCTGTGGTTTTGACCAGTTTTTTTTTTAAGATTACACGTAATATTTATGCCTGGTGTATGGTGTGTTGATTGCTTTAATAATGTCAACTCTTAAATTTGAGCAGGAGGGTTTATTAATGTAAAGAGGGCACAATATGAGGACTGAAACTATTTAAAATTATCACAAAGTATCTAAAGTTGAACTCACATGGTTACAAAGAGAAAAATATACAGAGGAAATGAAGCAGAGCAGTAGAAATTAGGACTGAACCGAAAGAGGAGTCTGTGTAAGTGTGTGCATGGGTGAATGTTTAACTTTTTTTTTTTAATATTGGTGCAATTCAGAAAGACTGTATACAAGCTTATGAAGAATTAATTCTGGTAACAAAGAACATTTATATACTTTTATTATTACCATGTATTTTGTATATTTGGGATGTTGTTGGATTTCAAAGCTGATTGTGTCAATAGTGTGATGTACAAACATGACTGAAAGAATGACTGAAATCCTACAATATTATTTTCATACAATGAAGTTTTGTTAGCAACTTTTGTACTTTGCAATGACCGTAAAACATGCATTTTTTTAACATGTCATACGGAGTTTACACTAAACATTTGTTAATTTGAAGGTTGATGGTGATATTTAAATTTAATAGTAAAAGAAAATTTGTATCATGTAATTTGGTCTTGGTTTAGAGTGCATCTTCCTGGATTGAGTTAATATATTTTAAAATCAGAAATAAAGGATAGTTTCAGAGTTTTGTTTCCTTGGGTGTGATTTTCCAAGTAGTGGTGCCCACATATTTTCATTGCATGGTCATTAAATAAAATTAATGTATGTATAGACTCCAGTGTATAATTCTTAAATACATATAACAATGATGATGGCATTCGCATATTTATGCATGAAAGCATATAAAATTTAAATTGTGTTTAACAGGCAACATTGAAATAGGATCTAACAGTGTCCTGTTTTAATGTAATGGAAGATTTTGGAACACCAAGTTGTGTATGGAGTAAAATAAGGAAATGTTTCATAATCCAGTTTGACCAGAATCCGTCACAGCACAGATTTTCTGTCATGTCACTTCGCTTCCTACATGTAGATTAGCTTTGCAGACTAGGAGATCTGTAATTCTATCCTTCGTTATTTTGCCACCATATAAACAGGCTTTCTCACAGATAGTGTTTTGCTGGGTGTTTATAAAAGAGCTCTCTTTCATCTGTGTTCATCTAATGGTTCATATTCACATAATTCTTCCAGTAGCTGCCCATTTTCTACTTTTTACTGTTTCCAGGTTTACACTCTTGCTGTCTTCACACAGTGTCTTATGTCATCTTTTGATCCAATCTCTGCATTTGTAAAGCGATAAAATTCCAACATATCTGCTAGTTATAGCACCTCTGTTTCAGGTGAAGACTAGTCACTTCATCATTACACATGTGAGTCTGGTTAATGCTTCAGGCCCAGAGCCACTTTACCCTGTTCCACTTGTTTTAAAGGTTTCAAAAACAAATTAGTAACTCTGTTCCTAGTTAGTTTCTATTATAGAAATGTGAAGGTTTCCCACTTATTTGTGCACACCTTTGTGCAAACAAATATTGGTACTTACATTTATTTGCGAGAGAATAATACTGTGGAAATATATTCGGATATTAGAAGGCGATGGAATTCCTCCAAGTGCCTGAGCATTAGATACTGCTACTAAATTTATTCATGACAGTTTTGTTGCTGCAGATTTGTACAAGTTTTCACAATTCTTAGTGGTAAGCACCAATTATTTACCTGTTCAACAATTGAATGAAAGTTTTAGAATTTTATATACCAAGTGTTGTAACAAGTTTTGCTATGAAGTGTTATTTCCAGTAATTCACTTTAGTGTAATAAATCTCACAACATTCCCTGGGACAGAGACCTCCATTGTAATTTCAGCAGTAGATGGTGAACTACTTCTGGGTACACTTACCTGTGTGGCATTTCTGTCTCTCTGCACAGACCTTACATCTACACTGGCATTTTCCTTTTTCTTTTATTTCCATTATAGGACCTCTATATGCAGAATATGGTGGTTCTGTCAGTGCTGCATCCATCCCTTATGCCATTTTTCCATTAACTTGCAGAATCTGACCCTTTTTGTGCATATTTTGCACTACAAAATATGAGCATTCACAAGTGCAAAATTAAAGAGGTGGAAGAACAATTTTTCCACTACTTCATGGATTTTTATTTAGCAATAAGGTAGCATTTGGTTAGATTTATCAACCAGTTATATATTTAGTGTAAACCATGGCTATATTTGGTTTTGGCCTTTTGTGGGCTCCTCTCAGTTTTGATGTTTCAGCTTTTCTGTCATCATGGCCTGTGCTTAGTAAGTAAGCATCTTGCACATCACATAAGATCTAAAAGTTTGTGATAGTGTTATATTAATACAATTATAAAGTTTTTGGACATTATCCATCATCCCTACTGAGTAATCTTTACCTGAAGCTGGAGACAGAGTCCAGTCTCAGAGACGTTTTTAAATAAAAAATGGGTAATGGATAATTTCCAAAATCTCAATAATTGAATTTGAAATAGGTTCCACTTCGTGCAAAGGGACATTGTCTGACTTCTCAGAATATAGGTCACATTATTTGTATTTAACATTGTAAGGATTGCCAGGAATTGATCTCGAGACTTCCCACCTTTTGTTGAATAGTTTATGCATGAAATTGGTCCTGTAGTCATGCAGAGATGGTTTCCTTGCCAAACTCGTTTGAATAACTATTGCAAGAAATATTTTTATTTTATGCATGCTTGCTTGTGGCCTCTGAGGATATGTGGACTTCGGTTTTGAAAGGTTTTGCTGTTTTGTTATGGTTATTTGATTTTTACAATGTCTCTTGTTTTCTGATGTAATTTCTCAAAATATCCCATTGTCAGAAAAATAGATTAAAAATTCTGTATGGTAACTTTTTGACATTATGTATAAATTTGGGTTTAATTCCTGGTATGGAATCTGATCATGAACTGTTACTTGGTCTGGTTTTATCCATTTTGTTTGGACTGCACTAGGAAGTCAATTGAATACCAAAACTTCTCTGCATCAGACATGCACGCTATGCCTGTGTTTAGTTTAGAGCCACAGTGGTTTGATCTCTGACATGTATGAAAGAGAGTCATATAAACATCATGTACAGTATGATAAACTAGCAGCAGATTGAAACATAATTTCTGAGCTATCTGAGAGAGAGTGCAGCATTGGAATTCTATTTGGTAGAAGCCTCTAAGGAAAGGAATTATAACTAGAAGCTCTGAACTGACACAGTGGAAGATTCATGTCTCTAGCATAATTAATTTTTATGTAGTGATTTATTTAAATCATAGATCATAGTAATGTAACATTCAGCTTCATGGCAAATTAAGCCAAGTGTCATTGCTACCATCAGCAGACTCAAAGTGGTAGCCCATATGGGCAGTGGTGGTATCTGTAGCTCTGCTAAGGGAGACAGATAAATTTCTTGTTCTCCGAAAAAGGAATATCTTGAACACATGCCTTCTGTTTCACTATAGATTGTCACCATTATGTTCAGTGTAAGTCCTGGTAGCAGTGCTCATTCATTATGAATTCCCATATGTGTATCAACCTATGCCAGAGTATATATTGTGGTATGTCTGCTGAAAGCCAGAATTGGGGACCAGTAGAGGTGGTGGTTGTTAGGGAATGGCCTTGCAAATGTCATGTGACAGCTCGTTTCCACGGTGACAAAGGCAGTGCAACAGTAAAGGAATTGTGGGAAGAGATGTTTTATGTGTGGTCTGTATCACAGCTACATAATGAGGAGCAGCTGCCATTTTGAGTCAGTTTGAGAAAGAAGGCCCTTGGCCTGGACTAGGAAGCGGTGGGCAGAACAGACAGGTGACCACTAGTGGAGGCTATAACAAGATTAGGAAATTTGTGTGGGTTTTAATGGTTTGTGCAGCGTTATAGTTACTTCTGATTCCAAATTGTAAAGTGTGCAATAAATCCAGCCCTGTCTGTAGTCACTTAACACATGATAATATTTGTTACAGACACTGAATGCCTTTCGTTTTCTTGAATTGGTCTTTGTATAGGCTCATATCCACTTACAGTCATTTGAAGGAATATACGAGGACACCATAAATCATCTTTTTTAACTTAATTAATTATTAATAATAAGCATGTTGCTAATATTCACAATGTAATATCAATTGTGATATTGAAGGAGATTCTGTTCTTGTTTATGAAAGAAGATGGGACTAATGAAGGAACCTCCATCTGCCAGGATTATTAGCTGTTACAAAACTTCTAGTAAATCCATTGTCTGTGTGTGTAACCAATCCTTCCAGCCACACTATGGCCCTGGGATCAACTCAGTCACTAACAGGACTGAGTACTAGGAATATTCTTGGGAGTAAAGGGCGGCCGGTGCGTAGGGCTGACAACCTTGCCGCCATCTATGAGCTGATTGTCTAGAAAATGTGGTAACCTCAACATCTCGCAACCCTGTGGGCATCCACAGCCCTTTACTGTACTTCTACTTTTACTTTATGTGTGTAACCAGTAGCTACTAGAGCTGTACGGGTAAACCATTCACAGTGATGCCTCATTTCTACAAGAGTACACATTTCACATTAGAGACACTATATTAGAAAGATGAATGTAAGTTATGCATTTTTTTCAACTTTATACATTATGTATATAAAAATGAAAAATTGTAAGGTACATGAAATATAAGCCCATTAAAATACTGTATATTATTGTTACGGACTATTAGTCACGGCCAAAGAGTTGGTGTGTAAAACAGAGGAGAGGTTGAATCTCAGAATGCAAAATTAGTGTTACACTCTGTTTAGTAAGAGGTAATTTTGTCATTCAGCATGCCTCTTCAGTGGGGACCCCGCCCCCCCCCTTCCATTTAATGTTCCTTGATTTAAGACTTCTTCATTTAACATTAAATTTGGGTGGTCTCAAGTCAATAATCTCACTCTTAAATTTCCACCAAAGGAGTTTCCTCAATTTACTGTACAGGTCCACTGCCCCCCCAGTGAAAACCATAAATGGGGGTTTCAATATAATGCAGGACTATATACACACACACACACGCACGAGTAACTTGAAGATGCTGTCTGAAATACAGTGTGTTTTTTAACTGGTATGAAATAAATAATGGCTTAAATGGAGGTTAAGGGGAATTGAGAAAAAGTATAAATTCCACATAGAATTTTGAATTGTTTCATTTTGGTCCGTTACACTATCAATCACAAAGTTAATAGAAAGTCCGTCGAGTGTAACAATTTGTAGGTGACTTCTTTGTCACTTCTGCCTTACATGTTTCGGTTTGACACAACCATCATCAGAGGCACTTACTACAATTATGAAAATACTGTCGTTTATGATGTTCACAGTTATGTTTGTTGTGTGGACGCTGCTACAATATGTTGACGTGTAAAAGCACAACACTTGCTAGGATAGTTGAGTACACTATCAAATTCACACTTTCCAGCGAAAACTGTTTTTAAGTTAAAACGCTAATGTTAAAATATTTTAAAACATTTGATGTAAAATGCTAGGCTCCTCCTTGTTAATTCATCCCGAAGATGGGAGATGTCAGCTTGAGGTTGTATGGCTTATGGTTAGATGTTTCCTATGCGCTGTGTGTTGTGTACACAACACACAGCGTAACTATCCTAGCAAGTGTTGTGCTTTTACACGTCAACATATTGTAGCAGCATCCACACAACAAACATAACTGTGAACATCATAAACAACGACAGTATTTTCATAATTGTAGTAAGTGCCTCTGATGATGGTTGTGTCAAACCGAAACATGTAAGGCAGAAGTGACAAAGAAGTGACCTACAAATTGTTACACTCGACAGACTTTCTGTTAACTTTCCACATAGAATCTATTCCATAATGACTAGTTCATGTTGCAAGTTACATCAGCTAACTCTTCTGAGACTTGCTGGGCTTTGTGATCTTCTGTGGTGGTACTGTATATCACCCCAACAGGCAGTCCCCTACTTGATGTTGCCCCCAGCCACAGCATTGGTACTGGGTCACTTTACAATGTGAAATGTATGTACATTATTAGGGAAGGAATTGGAGTTTAGAATATTAATAGAGTTAAAAGAGAAATGATTACAGTGGTTTGGCTTGATAAAAAGAATTTATAAAGCAAAGATACTGAGAGGGTCATTTTGAATTAAAATTCCAAAGAAAGACATGATGACCCTAAACAATATGGTTTTTCCAAGTGCTGTAGGACATTGTGAAAAGAGGAAAGCTGGAAAAAATTTCAAAAGAAAGGATTCTGGGAAGAAAGAAGAGACTGGAGACTTTATAAAACTGAAACTATGGTGGGAGAAGAAAAAGTTCATTTATATTTGAACTGTCAAAAATATCCTTGCAGCGTTTGTGGCCTTGACATGCACATTTACTAATTTTGTACTATATAATTCTTCTAAAATCGTGATTTTATATCGTATGAGTATTCTTGTAACATTCATTACAATTAGCATGTATAATTACTTTGAAGGAGAAGAATGGAACCAGTTTATAAGTTTTACTTAACAAACCACACTGTTCTTTTTGTTCTGTATTGTAAGTGAAGGAGGATGGGGTGGGCAGGGCATGTAGCACGAATGTGGGAGGAAAATAATGCATGTAGGATATTGGTGGGATAGCCAGAAGGAAGGAGACCACTGGGAAGACCAAGGCATACATGGGTGAACAATAATAAAATGGATCTTAAAGAGATGGGATGGTATGGATTGGATTGATCTGGCTCAGGGTAGGGACCAGTGGAGGGCTCTTGTGAACATGGTAATGAACCTTCAGGTTCCATAAAATGCTGGGAAATTCTTGACTAGCTGCAGATTTGGCTTCTCAAGAAGGGCTCAGCTGCATAAGTAAGTAATTGTAATTGTAATTTTCATGTTTCATTTGTTAGATTGATTGATTCAAGGAGGATGAAATTGATAGGACATGTAGCACACATGGAGAAATGAGAAATACAAAGTTTCAGTCAGAAAATCTGTTTGGAAAGTACAGCAAGGAAACCTAGGCATAGATGTGAGGATAATATTAGAAAGAAATAGGGTGTGAACTGGATTCATCTAACTTGGGTAGCTTTAGTAAACATGGGGATAAACCTTCTGGAAAAAGAAAAGATTTTCAGACAATTACTGACTTTTAGGACATTATGCACCTCCTCCTTTCTTATTTAAAAAATAAAAAAAGACCGGGTAATGTCCTAAAAGTCTGCAATCATATTAATATACTATAATCAGAAACTTTTAAATCTTATAGAATTTTGTAATGTACTGAGTGATGGTTAAATTTCATGAAAGGTCCTATGCAGTGGAGGCACTTGTGTGAAGACACGTACCTGTGCAGGTAGAATGTTAGTGACTTGGTTAATCCATTATCTTCCATCCTGTGTATTTGAAATCCAAACTAGAAGGAGCATATACTGGATATTTCATATTTGAAGAGTGTACTCTTTGTATTATTACTGAACTGATACATGTTTCACTTATTGCTAAAGTATTTCAGTACTTAAATTTATTATGGCTCTTATATATTGCAAGTTTTGCCTTACTTCAAGTCCGTAATGATTATAAATATTCTCAACAGTAATGTGGTTTTGTGTAATTTATTTATTTTTAAGTCAGTCTGACAGGTAGTTTTTGATCTTGTACCACTGTCATAGTGCTGAAGATTACACGGTACAGAGTTTAATAAATTTAATTTTGAAAGTATCAAGTGTAATTTATATTTCTATCTTACCTGCTCAAGTATGGAGTTTATGATAGGATGGATGCATTTGCATAGCACTTCATTTTGTGTTTTCTATCACCACCTGCCTTGCATCAGAACAGGAATCTTATGAAAAAGCACAAGTTCATTCCTTACATGCTGTTCATGCATAAAGTGACCAGTACTAGCTATTCACACTGAATGTGCTAACCAGGTTTCATTGTATGATACACTATTTCCCATCTTTTCCCTTTATTCTGGTATTTGTAGCTTAATATAAAAAGAAATTTACTCATTAAGGTAAAGAGAGTACAGTGGATAGAACTGTAGCCCAGAAGAGCAACAAATAAGAACATATAATTCCAGTACTTTTCCCTCATTTATGATTGCAGAAAGCCAGTGTTCTATTAAATGTTCTGACTTCTGTTGTTTTACTATGTCTTTTATTCTATCTGTTTTCCAAAGAGAGTGATTTTTATATAATTATTATATCACATATATTATTGAGATTCCATTTATATCATATATTGTAGGGCCACAATATAGATGCAGTTTAGAATTAAAAGATTATGCTAGATTTTTTATAATACACAAACTCTTGTAATGTGTGTGTGTGTGTGTGTGTGCGTGTGCGCGGGTGCAGGTGCGGGCAAGTGTGCGTGCCCTATTATGTATGTATGAGCATCTGACAGAGTGTTTGTGTGCATGTGAAGTGAAAGATATGTGATCATACTTGTGCTGAATGCCTCAGAATGGGATGAGGCTTTTAATATTGGAGCACTTTTCACAGAATTGTTAATTAGTGCATGTAAGCATTAATTACTCTCATCAGCACCTATAAACAATAATTGTGACATTGAGAAATGAACAAAGAATGAATTGTCTAGTATTGTTCACAGTACATGGTCAGAATTTGTAAGCGTTACTTTATTTGTGATCATAACATGAACTTTTTTAATGGGAATTTACTGCTGGTGTCTTGCAGCTTGAGGTAAAATTTATATGCTCTTTGAAGTCGAAGAATTGAAATGACTGGACATTTGCCATTATTATGTGTGCCCATGTGTACAGTTAATTTTATTTTTTTTTTGTAACAAAACTTGGAAGAAAGAACAAAAATTATAAACATCTAAATGGAAGCCTTGGCTCTTTCAGATTTGTAATCAAGAATCTGAGTTATAGGTTTTGATGCTTTGTACAACACCTCTATTGTATAACAAAAGGTATGAAATAAGTAGAAGTTGATGGAAATCAAATTGAACATAATAAAGAAGCAATGAATGCACATTGAGAGAT